CGGTCCCCAAACCCCAATATATACCCTATAATCCTTATACCATCCCTAGAATCCCAGTAGTTTCCATTTTCTTTTCCATTCTCTCTAAATAACCCCAGAAGCCCAAACTTCGTGGACACCACTCGTCAGGCAGAGGCACCTCGAGGTTCTGATTTCCTTTCTTTCGTCCTCCAACCCTAATATGACCCTAATGTTAGAGTCTCCCTTAAGTAGATAGAATATGGGATATATGGGGAGCTTATTATAATATACCCAAAGCCATATTCTATCTACTTAAGGGGGACTATACCCTAATTTAACCCCATTGTAACCCCAATATAACCCTAAAAAAAGGCCTTGTATGGATTCCCTTTGTTAACGTGACGGTTTGGCGTAAGGATCCTTGTGTCAAGGAGCAGAGAGCTACCTGAGATGCTTCCTTAACCATGCCTGTCAACTTAGATCTCAGCTGATGGGATTTACAGTACCCCTTAAATAGATAGAACATGGGGTAGATGGGGGTCTTCTTGAAGTATACCCAGAGCCATATTCTATCTACTTAAGGGGGACTATAAGCTTGTGCAACCTCCCTTCCTTTGTAATCTCCCTCGCCAGAGCGCTCCCCCCTTTCCCTTGAACAGTATAGCCATGACTTCCACATGCATCTGGCCTCATAAAGTCGTATGCCTACGTATCTGGTCCAGAAAGTCCAGGCTATCTTCCATGCGAAACTATTTACTCCTACTTTCTTGGGAACTATTTTTTGGTTTTATCACAGTAAAGTCCTCAGGGCGTTTTCAAACGTGTTGCCTTATGATACGTCTAGGGCGATGGTGGTTTAAGGGTTTAGGTTTAGTCTTGGTTCAGATTAGCTGCGCCATGATGGTTGCAAACATATGGGTAGTTCCCAAGTAGCCCAAAATTAGGGTCCCTTTTTGATAGCCCTAGATATTCGGCGGGGTAGTAAAATCCCTAAAGCCCTATAAACCCTAAATCCAAAAGGCGCCCATCGTTTTGATAGTAATCCATTTCATCTGGAAGCTCATCTGCCGCCATTGCTGCCCTCCCTTTCCCAGGTGTCGATTACCAATTACTAGGTACCCTAGTACTCTCCTTACCCAAGCTGAACATCAGAAAAAGAGTACGCTCACTATCAAGGGTTACTGGGGAACCTCAACCTAAACCATAGATTAAGCTTGCCTAGAGTTTTCTAAGCACGCTTCATTAACAGCTTACTCCTTGAACCATGCGGAGGTGAAAGCTTGATTCATGCGATCTGGGATAGGGTTTAGGGTTTAGGGTCTAATGTAGAAGACTGGATGTTCAGCAATATTGTCCCAATATCATCCTCATATGACTTAAATAAAACGTATCCCCAAATCCCATTCTATTCAAGTGGGCCGCTACATGACATGAGGTTTGCATCCTGCCAGGTTTTCAGGGCAGGGGGCCGGCGATGCCTCTTCGCCAAGGGCCGCGCATTTTCCCGGCATCTAGGCACTGAACTGGATGCCTCAGAGAGCAGGAAAGACTCCCTTCTTGAGGTATCTAGGTTTGAAACATGAACGATCGCAGGCTCACTAGTCAAGTTTGATTCTTCAATTACTGTACGGGGTTTTCGGGGCGTCAGTATGCGCGCCGGGGATATCAATAGCGGGGTGGAGGCGGAGCCATCAAAGGTTTAGACTAAACTGTTTAGGAGGTAATTTGGTTTTGGGCTTAAAGTGGTTTTGAGTTTCGGAGCTTGGGATCGGGTTCTGGCGCCTTCAGCCCTTAGATGAATCAACGAACAGGTCAGGAACTTGCAGCAAACGTCCTTCAGGAGACAACTCTTTGAGGGAGAGCGGGCTGCTTCTGCGCAGAGACTTCAAGTCTTACCCTCCTGTAAAAACTATGGGAGGGCTGTATGGGCGTCCATATTCGTCTGGCGGACTGTATAGGAAAGCTTGACCCAGAACTCTTGAGACTGAATCTTACCCCGTCCCTCAAACACAATTGCTGGATGTTGTGGGCACGTTGAGGCTGGGTATGAGACATCTGCCATTTTGATCCTCTTGAGTGTCAAGGACAGGCACTAAACTCTGAACCCTGCCGTCCCGCTCATGCAGATAGAATATGGGACACATGGGGATGAACCATCATGACTTCGTGAGTTTCCATATTTTACGTACTTAAGGGGACTTCTGAACCCTGCATGAATCCTGCAACGCCAAGATCTGACACCCCTGCCACTGGACCTTTATCTGGGCTGCGGGTACTGGACTTGTCGCGCATCTTGGCAGGCAGGGCCCAACTGAAAGTCCAGCTTTCCCAAAGCACCTTACTCCTGAAATGTCTTTAAACGTAGCTGGGGGTTACAAATTCTGAGCAAGCACACATGCCGCGAGGCAAAACTACCGAAAAAAAAACTCTGGTGTTTTTTCTGGTGTAAGCGGGCGCAGGATTCTGGTGTTGACGCAATGTTTTTTGGGCTGGAGGGTCCGCGCGCAACCGTCTGCGTCATGATGGATTGATTGGAGGTTCAGGGTTCTTAGAAGCCGCAGGTATAACTCTCTTAGGGTACGTCGGGCCCTGATACTTGGGTCATGGGTACAGATATAAGTAGGTTACCATTACATGAACTTGCAAGCAGCCCAGCATCGCACCCCTTCCTTTTTCGAGAAGCCTTGTTCCTGCGTGTAGTGCGGATCGAGCAGCCCTGCCAACCTCTTCAACGCAAAGACTTTAGCCCTAAACCCTAGTATAGTATATAATAGTAAAAACAGCATATTACAGTAAGTTCTAGCATATTAAAAAGTATATCATAGTAGATTATTGTTGAGCTGACATAAAGATTCCTTCCGAAATCCATTGTGTTTTGTGATTTGTTTGGGGTGGTGGTCGTAATCATAAGCCACGGGGTTGGGGTCAGACCAGGTAGTGCAGCTCGTACTACCAGTAGTACAAGTAGAGGGGAATCTTTTAAAATCGGGATATTTTCGGGCGGACAATCTTGTTATTGTCGCCCCTTATTGTTGCTGCCGGAACTGGTTCAAACTTTTTCGGGCTCCCAACTTGTTAGAAAGCAAACGTAGTCTTCCGGGAATTTTCTGGTTCGGCAACAATATTATTGTCACCCAGTGCATCACTGGTAGCTCAACATTAAGCCCTCAAGGAAAGGTGGAGCCGCGGAGCTGCCGCAAGCAATTCTGGCTCGCAGAACGCAAAAGCCCTTGTCAATACGCGTAGAAGGAGCGCAGTTGAAGATGGCACGTGCGATTGCAGCGTTCCTCCTCGGACAGGTCAGCCTATCACTGGCTTCCAAGGAGTTTGCGCTTAGGGTTTAGGGTTTAGGGCCTTTAGGGTGTGTGTTTGAGGTTTACTAACCAGGGTTTCAGGTTTGGGGTTTGGGGATGTCTGGGGTCTTGAAGCTCAACATTCGGTGTTGAGATGCAGGCGTTGGGGTTGCGGGTCGGAGCAGTGTTGCAAGCTAATCATAGATATATGTTATCTGAGTCTGCGCCGCTCTCTGCACTGCAACGGCCTAAACCTGCATGCGCAAGCAAGCCAGATTTTGCAACTGGTTCTACTCCCTTCCCCTCATAGCAAGCCTCCTCACCCCCTAATAACGTGTTCCGCCACGCGGTTTAGGTTTAGGATTTAGGGTTGTAGAACGGTACTATATATTGGGTGCGGGGGGGAGAATTTATCATCAGGGTGGAGTCGAGCTGTTGCATGACTCTAACTAGGGGCTTTAAGAGTGACCCTTCATGGGGACCCTTGCAGCTTATTGGGGGGAACATGGGTGTCCTCTAGGTATTTAGGGGGTAAATAAGCATTATACATGAGCTATTGTCTAAACTCCTTAAAGGGGGTTATATAGGGGATTATATAGGGAACTACTATGCGGGTTATTAAGGGGGATACTAGGAGTTTAGACTACAGCTCATATGGGGTATATCAGGTAATGGGGTTAGGGTTTAGGGCTTAGGGCTTGAGGTGAGGGGTTTAAACTTTCAGTCCAAGAAAACAAAGGCAAACAGCCTTGAAGTCAGCCTCCAGTAGGTGCAGAACATAGTGGTTTCCCAAAATTAGGTGTAGCTTTTGGGGGGTCCCAATAATAAGGATTATAGTATTTTGGGGTCCATATTGGGGTCCCCTTATTTTGGGAAACTACCACATCTTGCACCACGTAGGGGAACCCTGCCTTACTGCAATACTGCAGTTCCCAGGGCCTAGGACCTAAAATCCGATCATGCGAAACATTTTTTTATTGGTTTTTACAGTGTTTTCAGGGGGTCGGTGGATCATGGGGGGAGGGGGGGGTGTCCAACAATATCTATGAACAAAATGAGGTAGTGCAAGCAATTTTCCATCCGGTTTCACAGTCTGGACAAGGGGCAGTATAAATCTCAAGTCTACCATTCTAAAGCCTCAGAACACAAATCCAACATTTCAAGTTTGCGGCGCCTTGAAATGGGTGCTCAACTGCTTCACATGAGGATGCATGGCAGTTCTTGCAATGGTTCATGGAGTTAATTTTGAGGTATCCGAGTAACAGACCAACCAGGCTGCCGCTACGGACCCCTACACGTACAATGCCCCATGAAGAACGTAAACAACAGAGCGCTACCTCCACACGCTAACAGATGAAAGTCCCTATAAATCCTCCCAACCCTTATCTGGCCTTTCGTTCGCTAGGAATGAAGGAATGGATCTTTGTAACAGTCCCTATTTAACCCGTTATAGTAGTATTCGTGTTCTTTTCCCTTCCTTCATTCCCAGCTAACCAAAGGCCAGCTATCCCAAACCCAGAGCCTGCAGCGCGATGCATGTGCCTAAACCCTAAAAAAGTATTTTCCATTTTACTTGCCATCATCCCAATACAACCCCAAGATACTATATGTAGAGGGACCTAGGGTCTCCATTTCATTTTCCCTTATCCCTATAATTGTTGAATCCCCCTAAACCCCAAACCGTAAACCCCCTAAACCCCAAACCCTAAAACCCTAAACCCTTAAACCCTAAACCCAGATTCAGAGGACGAGCTGTATGTCTTCAGCTTCGGAACTTATCCAGGCTACACAGGGAACCTGGCCCCAAAGGGCATGATGTGCCTTGGACCTGACAACGGTTTTAGGGTTTAAGGTTTAGGGTTTATGGGGTTAAGGCCTGGAGCACTGTTTAACTTGGTTCTTTGCAAGGGAACAGTCAGGTTCCTAGGGCCTGGGAATATTGTGAGTGTGTATGTTGAACTGTGTAATTTGGGGGGCAGAAATTAAAAGCCTATTATGTCTGGGACAAGAGGACATGATTTGGGGAGGGATTGCGGATGATGGTCAGGGTGTGGGTTAGGGATGCAGGGTTCACTTGTAATTGGCAGTTTACTTGTGGTCTGGGGATGCGTAAGGCACGCTTAAGGGGTAGCGGTCTAGTAGGGATTGGGTTGTTTAGCATTTAGGTGGGGTGACGGTTTCGGCTTCTGTTAGTCACAACCCCTTGCAGGTATCTCCATCGGCAACACAGAGTGTCCCCCGTAGTTGTGGATGGTTTATTGTGGCCTAGCAAAGAGTAATCACGCATTAATTCCTTGTAGTTCTCGAAAACTACTGATATTCTCGGCCGAGAAGACCAAACCTTTGTGCGTCTTCCCGTGGCCGCATCACGGGAACCGATAATGGCGTGTTTTGCGACTGTAAGTGCGTGGTGGTGTCCTCCCGTGCTTGCAAGTACCATGCAGATCCTCCTCAGCTAGATCTGCTCTGCGAACATTGACTTCTGGCTAATTCTTGATGCAAGCTTGCCGAGAGCTAGGTTATACATCGTACTCCGTTTACCATCTCACCCCTTGTGGCCAGGTCCGTGTTTTCCAGCGACGCCAATAATGGCACTCAGACGATTTCCTGGACCCTCACGGAGGGCTTGGACACTCGCTGCTCCGATGCGTGCACTGCGGCCAACTGCTGTCGCTCGGTCACAAATAACCCCCTCCATAAATTTCCATGCCCCCAGAAATCCGTACTCACCTTGTGATAGTATAGGGTATCGGGAGCAGTTTTTTATTTGGAGGGTAAGGAGCTTCATCATTCAGGGAGGGGGTGAAGCATTCAACATACCCCAGGGGCATACTCCTCGAGGTTGAGGGGTATATTGTCAAATTTCCCTTGGATTCTCCTTTTGGGGGCCCTTTGAAGTGAAGCGGTTTGGGTTTGGGCATGCGGAAAACTTCTTGTTTGGCTAGAGATGTTTAAACGGAGGAAGCCTGGCAATCATGTCTTGATTTCCTTGGGATGCTAGGCGGAGTTCACATCCACGTGGGGATGACCTGCAGCACTGCAAACGACATCGGAGGCCACTACTGGAATTCCACGTACTATGCTGTAGACCCATGGCTGACGGTTATGTACAACACCAGCAGCGGTCACCCGGCCACTCAGACCGACCTTGTCGTAATGACAGGTACGACAGGGGAGGATGTCTATGGCCGTGCCATGGTGATCCATGATTTTACCGGAGCCCGTATCGCCTGTGGAATCATTGAGGAGGCAACCACCGGTGCCTTTGCAAAGTACCCTACCTACACGGGATCTTGGATGACCACTGGCGGGGTTAAGGTCACGTCGTCGGGAACTGTGCAGACCCTGCACTGGATTTTCACCGCCGGGCTGGACCCTCAGTGCTCCGGTCCCTGCACTGATGCCAACTGCTGTGGAGTCCACTTCCACGTGGGAAAGACCTGCGGCTCGCACGCGGAGATCGGAGGCCATTACTGGAACAGCACTATGTTCTCGACCGATCCTTGGCTCTACATTCAGTACAACGCCTCAGCAATGCCTTCCATCATGATGGACGTGGCGGTTGACACGGGGTACGAGGTTGCTGACGTGGCAGGCCACAGCATCGTGGTGCACGACTTCACCGGAGCACGCATCGGCTGTGCTCTCATGTCTAACCTCGACATGGGCACCACCACAACCACGACCCTCGCCAACAGCCAGGTGTCCGGTGCCCCCATGTTGAGCTCCATTGCCGCCACAACCTTTCTTCTTGCCACGAAGGAGCTTGCGTTCTGAGCCCATACGGCCCACCTGCTTTCAAGAGCGGCCCTGCAGTAGAGGGAGTGGCTGCTTTCAAACTTGAATCCGTATGGGGCTGAATTATGAACTATGCTGAAGATCTGCACGATTTGTGATCTCCTGCGCTTGGCAGGAACTCCTCTTTGGTCACCCAATTCCATTTTCTCACAGCAAAAGCACATCATCACTACCAGCACTGCCCAAGTGCCCTTAAAAGGCAGGGGTTGGGGTTTAGGGTGTCAGAGTCCTACTTGTAGCTATGTAGGCTTCATAGGGGTTGCTTATGAGTTTAGGGTATTTGCTGGGGCAATACGCGTACCCTACCCACACATCGCCACCCCGAGCTCTCCACGAATGAAAGACAATGGTGCATCCCCTCCCCTAACAACATCCTCCCCGTCCCAGCAATAATAAACATGCCCCATAATGTATGATGGATATTTCCTATCTGGGTGGTGAGGGGGAATTATCAGGGCCAGGGGATTAGAACGTGCTTTAACAGCATGCTCTCTAAGTATGATTCCAGGCCTACACACTGGGTTTAGGGTTTTTAGTAGCCCATCATCACGGCTATTGGAATTTGAGAGGTTCAGGAGCGACCTTGGTGATACTGCCCTATCTTGGTTAGTACGTTGCCTTGTGTAGTCGATGTAATGCCCACTAGCAGTCGTATGATTTTTGGCACTGTCAAGCGCCCGCGAAAGAATCCTTAACCCCTCAAGGCCCCGAACTCTGCAAGCCTGCGCAGATCTTCGCTTGGTAGGTATGATTTAGGTGGACCCCCCACCCAGTAATAGTGACTATAATGGATAATAGAAATTCTTTTAGGGTCCTCTTACATTCCTATTATACCACTATTACAGGGTGGGGGGTCCACCGGAGGTATGATGGCTCTCAAGGCAGGGCCTGGTTCGACGTTTGAAAGGATGCATCGGCCCAGGGCAGTAAGATGTCCATATTTGAGCTATAGTCTAAACTCCTTAAAGGGGGTTATATAGGGGGTTATATTGGGGACTACTATAGGGGTTATAAAGGGGGATACTAGGAGTTTAGACCATGGATCATTTCAGAAGGGAGCCTGTGCAATTGCACGGTGTTCGACATCTTCGCCATGTGACATGACATGTCATGATCGCAGCTGCATGATCTTCTCTGAGTTTTGTACGCCAATGTCACCTAGACCTAGACCGGTACATCCTCTACGTTCTCGCACCACGCTGCACTGCCAGCGTAAAGCAACCTGGCAATGCGGGCGCGCGATTACTTCGTATGTAAATCCATGCAAGTTTCTGGCGCACACGGCGTCAGCTCGCAGATTTTGTATACCTCCCTTCTCCTTTGCCCAGTGAGACCGGAGAACACTAGGCGAAATACTTCATAAGCCATAAGTAAGTAGTAAGAGACGAGCTCTCTCATATGCATTGTTACAATACGTATTTTGAGAAGGCTTGTATTTTCTGCACCTTATGTTCAGTTCGTGATTCGAGTTTATGCACGTCCAAATGCTGGCTTCGAAGACAGCATTGGCTGTCTCAGGCTTCTTTGGTCAAATGGATCGGAACGGTGGACCTGCAAACTGTAAAGCAAAAAGGCTGTCGCAAACGAACCATGGCTTTCGCTATGTGAGTTCCAGGATCGTGAGACAGTATTATAACTACCATTCAAAGATCCATACACCGTGAGGATCCAGCGGTAGATCTACATGAACATATACTCATTGGGGGTGTGGGTTTGTAGGAATTACGGGAATCTATTCTATAAAAATTATGTAGAGATCATATTCCCTGACTCCTTACTGACTACCAGTAAGTAAACCCTAAACCCTAAGTAGTAGTATCCATTATCTTTTTCATTATCCCTATATTGCCCCTATAATATAACCCCTTATAATAGTAGGTTCCGTTATAAACCATGTCCACAGGCCGCATCCCAGTATCAGCTGTGGCACACCGTACAGGTCTGGGGTCGAAAGGGCCATGGATCATCCTCTGGGCTACATTCAGAGAGAGAATTATGTAACCAAGAGTCCATATGCTTGGTCATTATATATATGTACGCATATATATATATACATACATACATATATATATATATATGTTCTAATTCGTGCTTTATTCTAATTCGTGCTTGTAGGTAGATATCTCTTTGCCTGTGACTCAGCATTGTACGTTTTCAGTGCATGGCAACAAGTGTCCAACTACGAGCAGCAGCGATTGTACGACAGCTAGTATGGCGCATACAAATTTGCTAGTGGTTCTTTCAGTGGAAGAGGTCTCTCATCAACATCATGCTGCCAAATACCCTAAACCCTAAGCCCTAAACCCTAAACTGCACGGCAACCTTTTGGGTTTTACCTCTATGCCTTGCAGGCCCTTCGGCGACAATGCTTTTGGCGGACATGGGCGCGGAGGTCATCAAGGCTTGATGAAGTGGCACGCCATGTTTAGGGTTTAGGGGTTTAGGGTTTAGGTACGCCTTAGAATGGCATGGGAGATTTTCGGTAGCAATCCTGCACGATCCTCAACAGAAGCCCCAAGAATCCTCTCACTAGCAAAAAGAACTTCATTCGAACGCGATCCGACACGAGCCCCTAAACTGCTGAGATGCCCGTTATGTAAGTCCCATCTTGATAACTTGTCCACATGGATGTGCCAAATGAACAATGGAATTCACATTAGATTACCCTGAAGCCTTTACGTCTTTTTCGGGTTACAAGAGCCACTATATAGTCCCCGTTTAAGTAGGTAGAACATGGCCTTGGGTATATTATATAAGATCCAAATATACTGTATATTCTACCTACTTCATGGGGACTATAATCTACTGTAACAATTCTATTGTAGCTTTTTTCCCCATGAACAAGGTAGAGGCCTGAGCTTGGCGCAATCCCGAAAAGTGGGTCCTTTTTCCTCAGGACTTACTTCAGAGTCTTCAGAGGTTCATGGGGCTTAGTAATTACTTATAACTGGGGATATATCCTTACTTATAATCTGAATGACCTTAATAAGTCCAGTTAGGGGGATTATAGTTCGGGCTATAAGTCCAGTTGTAAGTAGTCACTAGTCCCACGGAACCTCCAAGTAGGGCTCCACACAAAACAAAGCCAGCAGGGCTCGAATACTTGCGATCTTAGCAGTTCCTGAGGCTCCAGTAGCAGGGTTTAGGCTTTAGGGTTTAGGGTACTCTTGGTCCTTGGCTGTGGGTGTTAGGTCTGAAGTTCAGACCCTCATGTGGGTAATTAGTTGGTCTGCTCCGTGGAAGCTGAAGCGGGGTACAGAGACAAGCCAAACCTTCAGCCATATTGAATTTCCATATATGTATGTACATCTATTGTGAAAACATATGCAAACACAGTAACAGTCATCCAGAAGTGTAAGTGCAAAACTTGCATCTTCTTGGTCAGGTATGAGAGACTAGATCCTTGCGCATAGAATGTCAGTGGTGATCTTGATGACCCGTCGCTTCGTTCTCTGCTTGCAAAGGGCAGGTATGGTAGGCCCTGTAGGTCGAAGCACCGAGGGACGGCGATGACGCGCGGCAGTATCTGGGTCCGCGACAGGCATTTTTTGGGGGGAGAGTTCTGCTTTGGGGTTCAGGATCGCACATAGTGAAGAATCAAATGGTAATGAAAGGAAAACTATCGAAGCTGGGGCTATCTAAAGTGTAACAACATAGGCTTAGGGTCAGATTTTATGCGTTTTAGGGGTCGAATTCGTTCTTGAATTGATAAAAACGACCCAGTTTCTTCCAGGAGCAGCGGGAACGAAGGTACGCAGTGCCGTTCCTACAGCAGGGCCAGGGCGAGGAGAGAAGCATTCGCACACGAGTCGCTCAAGACGATGTATACTAGGTTATAATAGGGTATAATATTGGGGTTATATAGGGGATAATGGAAAAGGAAATGGAAACTACTATAATGTTAGGGTTATATTGGGGTTATTTTGTGCATACAGTAGTCCTTGGATACTGCCCCCACCCAACAAGTTGGATAAGAATTATGATGTGAATATATGCAGACCACATATGACCGTTACTATTGACTGTTTAATCGGTGGGGGCCGTACCCAAAGTAGTCCCTTCATGCTAATATTTAACCACTCCCATCCCGAACAGCAAATATGTTTTGCCAACAGTGTTTTTCAATTCGGTTCTGGAGGGGTGTTTACAATCAATAGGGATGATTATCTGATCTTTTGGACGGCCGGCTACTCCCAACTGTTTTGGACGGCCGGCTACTGTAGCATTTGGGTGTGAGACCCATATCGAGAATTTCCAAGAGGGGAACTCAATCATTTATAGTGCAGGAGCGCCCAAAGCGGACCCCTTGAAAACCGAGAGCTACGGTATTTTGGTTCTTGGGTACCTTGACCACCCCCCCAAACCCTAAACCCTTGGGAAAAACCCTCCCAAGGTCCGATGCGCGTGCCTAAACCCTCCCAAGTTTTACTTAGCCGCCTCAACTAGCCCAATTTTTATCCTGTACGGGAACCCAACGACGGGTGCAGGATTCAGATCTGTCAGCTTACTTCTCGAGCTGCAACAGGCCTGGCCCTTGGGTTTATTCCCAATAATTGGTCATCAAATGGAAAAGAAAATAGAAAATTAAATGGAAACTGGGGATATGTAGGGGTTTATAGGTTGGGGACTGCCTCCGCTGTATAAAAATAGGATAACATTTATATATAGCCCATAATATGATCCTGAGTATAGACTGTTACAGGGTAGGGGCAGTGCCCAATTTATAGGGCTTAGGGGTTTCCCAGAAGTAGGGGTACCTTTTTTAGAGTGTAGGGTGTTTGTGGGAAAGGTCTGGCCTCTCCCCTCTTGGAGGGTCAGGGAAGTCTACAGCCAGTTGAAACCATGTTAGGATATTTGGGGGGTTTGGTTAGGTGGGAATGAAGGAATGGCAAAGAACATGGAAAGTACTATAATGGGTTATATAGACATTACAATAAGGATCCATTCCTTCATTCCTAGCTTGCCAAAGGTAAGATTTGGGTCTTATAGTTTGTTCAGGGTACTTGTAAGCCAATTGTAGCACATGCTGAGAGGTGCGCATGCGGAGAATGACGCAGCTTCCTGCAGCATCAAGCAATACAGTCCATTGACAAGACCCGAACATTTTAAGTTGCGAGCCTATCTTTTGTGGAACCATGTGGAGCACCGAGTGCTTGTTGAAGACCGGACAAGCCCAATTAAAACAGAGACAAAGTCTGTACTCCCTCAGGTAGCCCTATCCGAACATCTCTGCAATGCGATTGCCCTAAGGGCCCCAGTACCCAATAATCATGTACCTCCCCAAAACCTGTATCATAATTGCTGGTGCCCAGATCCCAAGTATTCATTTAGTCATTGGGTACATGGACCCTTAGGCATTGAAGATTTTGTTGCAAAAGCTGACCGAGCAAGGTTTGCATGAATGTGCGGCAGCACAGCACAGATGGCAGATGTATGAGTGCCCACAGGTTTTAGCTGAAACGTCTTTCCGCTAAACAGACAGAGATAGTGCAGACTCATATGAGTTATAGTCTAAACTCCTTAAGGGGGGCTTATATAGGGAATTGCATAGGGGACTACTATAGGGGTTAAAGGGGGATACTGGGAGTTTAGACTATAGCTCATATGAGGTAGGGTTTGAATGATTGTTTTGGGTGAGCGTATAGGGAGTTTCTTTGGAATATTGGTGAGAGTATGTATTTGGGATCAAAACCAAGCCCCACCACAAATGTATGTGCCAGGAACAAGTATAGCATCGCTGTGGACTTCAAGACAAGAGAAGGCCAATGTGCTTCTCGGCAGGATCTGGAATGCGCGAGCTTTGCAGACCTGCCTGCGTCATGTTGATGCCTGCCATTTCATGTTGAAGTATGTAGTGATGTAGTGCAATGCTTGTCTGTTTTGCTGCAACGGTTCCTTGCATTGCAGTACTGCTCTGTTGTATGTGCCGCTAGGGCTTTAGCCACGGACCTCTTTTGGACTTCGTGCCTCGAAGTTGGTACAATCACTGTTCACAGATATGTATACATATATGTACATTCATGTCCAGGTGCATATAAGTGCGCAAGTATGTACACACGCACACACATTGTCTTGGTCAAATCTGCTCTATAGTTTAGCCTGCGTGATTCTTCATATGCTTCCATCACAGTTTTTGTAGACGTAACATGTGATTTTGGCGGGAAAGCCCTGTAAGATGTTCAGTGAAGTACTTGCATGAATAATCCTTTTGAGCTCCAGACAAAGCCTCTCATAAGCCTCCTTCAGTTTTTCCAACACCCTGCATGAATCCCCAGATGTGTCTGTGCAGATTATTGGGTCTGTGCATTGGCCCAAGAGGTTTAATTTGTAAGCCTGAATCATTACGAAGAGTGTTTGGAATCCTGAAGTGATGATAAGACTCTATACCCTACAGCCCTCTTCTTTGTGGATTCTTTCACTCCCCCTCACATGTATCCCGGTTCCTCCAAAGCTCATCTTTCTTGGCCTTAAGTGAGCTTAATTCAGTGGGAGCCCAAAGAGGGTAGTATAGGGTTTGGTGAAGGGAACCCAGAATTCCGTGCGCGAAATATTAGCGACAGCCCAATAATGAAGACCCGCAACGACCATAATTTTGACAAACTACCATATGGAGTTTGTTTTAGATTTCAAGTTGCGGACACTTTGTCGTGCTTAATGTAGTAGAGTCTTCTTCTGGAGGGTCTTCAGCAAGGCCACCGTTTAGACCAACCCCCATGCCAAGAAACCTTCAGGTGGGCAGCAGTTTCCTGTGAACATGTTGTAGAGCTGGTTTAGGGTTAAGGGTGGGCCTTCAAGTCTGCATGGGCTAAAGGCAATGCACTGCGTGTGCAAGATTAACCAGCCGGGGTGTTAAAAGATGACCAAAACTCTAAATCCTGCCAAGGTCATCCGGCGCTTGCTGCAGAATCTTAGATCTTGACTTCTACATGCTTGTAGGAATTCAGGGTTTAGGGCTTGAGGAGGATTAGGGTCTGCCCCTGGAGTTGTCGAAGTTCGCTGGTCCGGCCCTTTCATACGGTGTTGCGAGCACCGACAGTCATGCAGTTTTCAATGTTCGTGGCAATATGGCCTGTACCGATTAGTATGGTCAGAGGACTTCATCCAAAGCAACTGGTTTGGGAAGCAGGCATGCTTCTAAACACAGCACCCCTAAGGACTCAAAGGCCTAGGCTTCCCCAAAACCCAACCTCGCCCCCCAACCGTAGACTCTAAAGCCGAGCCCGGGGTTCGGGGGTGGAGGGCTTTAGGGTGATTTTCGAGTATAGGGTTGGGTTTTTTTAGGGTATAAGGTTTAGGGTGCAGGGGTTTAGGGTATAGGGCTTAGGCAAAAAGAAGAGATGAACCGCCCCAGCGTCGTCTAGCCAAATTCAGCAGTCTTGAGCAAGCTAGGAAGCGTTCCAGTGCTTCCTTTGAGCTTTGTGTCTTTCGGTTGCTCGGGCTGGATGGAGGCTATGTTGGGATGAATATTTATGCGTGTACACATTTCAGGGGCCCAAGACTAGCCAATATATAACCTAAAATCCCTATATAAACCCTATATAACCCCATTGTAGTAGTTTCCATTTTCTTTTCCATTATCCCAATATTATCCCCAATACTATTCAGGGGAGGGGAGTAGCCAGGAACAGCGATGTTCTGATCGAGAACTTCAAAGTGGGTGGTCTAGCGAAGTACGGCCTAGGCTCGGCTGCTGGCTCGGGGTTAAAGGTTTCGGGTACACGGTTTTTTTAGTGGGGTTTAGGGTTTAGGGTTTAGGGGTTGTATTGCGGTTATATAGGGATAATGGAAAAGAAAATGGAAACTACTATTTAGGGTTTTGGGGTCGAAGGCTTAAGGTTTAGAGTTTAGGGCTTCATCTTTAATTGGGCTGTGGCTAGTTTAGGGTTTTAGATAACATGGAACATGACCTGAAAAGGGGTCTGAATTAGAGTACTGCCTGGTTAAAGGGAACCTATTTGGGGTGCCACAAGGGTGTACTAAAAGCTCCTTGTTGGTTTTTAATTTGTTCCAAAATACCAGAAGTTGCAATTTCTGCCAGGGGACCAGGGAGGAATAGAGGGATAGAGTTGAACTTGGGGTTCCATGTTGGTTCCTTCCAAGCCCTGCATAATCTGCGCCTTCTTGCGGGCACCCTCTACGGCGAGGTGCCCTGGGGGTTTGGAAAGGCTTGGAATCAACTTAAACCCGAAACCGGTGTGCGTCTTGTTTGATTTTGTGGGGCTGCGGTTCGATGATGTGGGGGGTTCCAGATGCCTTGTTGGGAGGTCCCGAAGAGTTTAGGGTATCTAGGCGGTCCCGTGTTTCTGCAAAGTTCCACTTAGTGAAGACTACAGGCAAGTTATACCCATCCATGCGTGCTTTGTGCTTCGGCTGTGCAAGAGTTGAAGTCGGCTTCTCCTTAGATCATAAGTAATCCCCTCCCATATAACCCCCCCACCCCGTAGTAATAGCAATTTGGGCGCCTGTTGCTAAGGTGGGGCCAAGTGTTCAGGGGAGGGGAGCAGGAAATGAAGGAAATGATCCCTACAGCCATCTCAGTCTTTCTAATTCATCTAGTCCTCGTTTATTCCCATCCTTCCTGCCTTCCTGCGCGCATGGCCTGTTACCTAACAAACTAGACTGGTTGGTAAATGAGAAGGGAACCCCCCAAAGTGTCCTGGAAGTCCACAAAATTCTCCTGCATATAGTCCCCCTTAAGTAGATAGAATATGGCTATGGCTTTGGGTATATTACAGTAAGATTCCCAGATACCCCATATTCTATCTACTTAAGGGGGGCTATAGTTTCTGTTTGCAGCGACAGGATTTGAGCAGCTGAGAGATGAGCCCGGAGTATTCTTCAGAATGGTCGTGGGATTTTGGGAAGGTGGACCCCAAACACCTAGCAATAGTCACCATACGGGATAATAAGGATTATGTTAGGGTCCCTTTTTATTCCTACTATACCAATATTACAGGGTGGGGGGGGTCCTCCTAAGATATTGGGCTCACTGTTAAGAGTCTAAGTAGTGGGAGGCAGACCTGGTTTGATTTGTGCGGCTGATCGTATGGGTTGCTCAACCATCCCCTTCATAAGTACGTACAACCCCCCCTTCCCCCGCAAAGGTTCCCCTTTAATGAGGCCAGGTTCGTCACTAATGTTAATTTAGGCGGAACTTTCTGGGGCAGTGCAGTACAGGGATGGTACTTAAGGGAACCCATAAAGATGGCGGGAGTAAGTAGGGATGGTTGAGGAACACATTTTAGAGCTAGTCAAACCATGTGGCCGTATGGAAATAACTTAGGTTCATGGTTTAGGTAGCCAGGGCGCAATGTAGGGAGTGCTTTGGGTGCAAAATGTCATAGTCCAAACTTGGTTTTAAGATGTTGCCTCTATGGTTCCTAAGCTTTCGTCTGAAATCACTCATGTCTCAAGGCAGAACCCCCCTAGAAGCAAAAATACCAAGGATTTTCCGGAGCTCATCTATTGCAGCATCACTGGCTTTGGCCAAACTGGACCTTACTGCAAGAGACTCCTGTCCGAAAGCTTGAGCAACCTTGGCTGAACCATGTTTCTACTTGAGCCCGACAAAGTAGGGGTCGTACAAAGTTTGGCATTTGGTCAAGTCAAAGAAAAGCGCTTTACATTGAGATGGGTTATAAATCAAGCCTGTCGATGCATTCCCTCCAGTTTTCACTACTTGTCTTCGTCACCCTTAAATCTTGACACAATCTACGTTGCATGCAGTGAGACCTGAGACCCTTAAATTCTGCGGGTTTGCCTTTATATGACATCTGCGGTTAGCATGAGAAGTATCTAGAAGTCAATGTTTGGCAGATGGATGTGCTAAGCGCCATGGTAGTCTCTACATGGCCACTCAGAGTATAGTCCCTCTCGCCCATCAGAGTTTCATACTAACTGAAGTTCTTTTGTGTCTAAGTATTTACTTAATTAGTCCCCTGCACAACCCACTAGGAAGGTGAACCTACGGTCTGCCTTTAGGGCCCTCCATTCCTCCTGAAACCCGAAACCGTACGCCCTAAGCCCTAAACCTAACCACCGAAAGGCACAGGACCAGCCTACGACCTGCTAATACAAGGCATGGGCGGATCCATGAGCCACTCGCAGACCAAAGCATTAATGCTATGGGGGTCTCCAACAATTAGGGGGCTCTGCTTCGGAGCCCAGAAGAAGAATTTTACTAAGTACATTACGGTAGATATTGGGGCCCCCAATTTCTGGAACGCCCGTAATAGCCCGTCAAGCTTCTGCTTCAGTTTGATGACCTTGCTCCACTGGTTGGGGTGATACTTGCTTGAACAAGTTACATCTAAGAACCCCTACGCTTGTAAAGCTTTCAGAATCTGCCTTGCCTGGGAACGCTCACTGGTTAACATGCCGGCTTCGAGGCCTATGTTTGTGAGGTAACGGTTTGCTTTTTAGGGTGCACTAAACATGGAAATCGCAATGGTAATAGTATATAGTCATATCAGTAGTAATCGTAATACCTACTAGTAACAGAAATTGGAATAGGAAAGATAGTAGTATGCGTTCCATCCTTGGGTTATGCGGCAGATAAGATTGGTTTAGGGTTTTATGGTTAGAGGGTTTTAGAGTTTAGGTTTTAGGGTTTTAGGGTTCAGGGTTTATGGGTTGGTTGAAGGCCCCTGGCCTCCTTGATGCAATCCCATTTGCCTGAAGGTGGTCTCTCAATGGTCTCCGTAATCCATCGCCCCATTTGCTACTAAGCAACCCCAAGCTAGGCTTCCACGAATGAAGCTTGGCCATGCTGTGTAGTCTGAAGCTACTTTGGACTAAACTGGCTTGTTCTGTACTTGGAGGGATCCAGGACATCTTTTGCAGCTCTATACATGCATCTCAAATAAGAGGAGTGACAGTGGTTGAGGTATCCCACCCGATGCAAGACTTCCTCCATAAATGCTCATAGTCCCCCTTAAGTAGATAGAATATGGCTTTGGGTCTATTATCATAAGATCCCCATATACCCCATATTCTATCTACTCAAGGGGGACTACAGCTGTACTGAACTATGACAAGTGTCAGTAGGAGAAAAGAAGGCAGGAAGGGCCGTCAGCTTCAGCCCCTCGAACTTCCTCGGACTTAGCCTTTATGGGGTTTATATGGGTGTTTCCCTAAATCAGGGGTACCTTTTTGGGGGGTCCCCATAATAGGGATTATAGTATTTGGGGGTCTATATTGGGGTTTCCCCATTTTGGGGAAAGTGCCATATCGGTGAAGGTTTAAAACTCGGTCGGAGGAGGTTCTTCTACTCATTCGGCAACTCGCATGAACGTCAGGCATAAAGCTTGGCCTACGCAACTCTGAACCCTGCCCTGCGCCCCTTCATTTTGAGGCTCAAAAGTTTGACCGCCATTTGGGTGCTTCCAGAAATACGGACCCTCCGGAAGTACCCTCCCTGCTAGATCGAATCCTTGCTGTAGTTATAGGGATTCACCCAGAGTGCCCCCCACGTCTGGAAGCCTCATATGCCCGGACTAAAACTAGAGGCCTGACGGGAGAACCGGATGGAGCACCAATGAGAACTGGACTGCCGCTTTTCGACCTCACAGCCGGCTTGCATGGTGGCATGTTTGAAATACCATCTGGTTTAGGGTTCAGGGTATGGAATCCCTGAAGCCCCTTTTTTTTTGGGGGGGGGAAGCCTGCTTAGGGTTCCATGTCAGTTTGGAGGAGGGTAGAGGGTTCCCTCACAGGGCCTTCATACTTGAAAGCCTCAGCCGCAATCAACCATAGTCTCCACACTCTTCTTGCTCACTTTGTGATTCGGGGTTGTGTGTACATGTAGGACAAGCATGGACAAGCGATACCCTAAGCCCGAAACCCTAAACTCTGCTACTGGGCTGCTCAGAAATGACCAAGAAGTTGCATGCAGCTATCAGAGCACCGTAGGAAACCTTCAGGCCTTCAACAAGTGATGAGGGTTCAGGGTTTAGGATTTAGGGTGTAGAGTAAACGCATCAAGCCGTAAGCTGTCCCCCAGAACCTCGAGTGATTTTGTCCTTGGATATCGTCTCTCCCTCCCAAGCCCTAAGCCCGAAACTTCCTTTGAGGCGTAATTGGCATCCTCGCCGCTCCCTTTCTGCATCTTGCTCGGGTTTTGGGATTCAGGTTAAGCGCTTAAAGTTTTGAGAAATCAGGGTTTAGGGTTTTTGGGATATTGTCTTCAGGCTAACTACGGGAAGTCAGAATGGTTTCAGAATAGAGTAGGGACAACAGGCGGTATGCATGGAATGCATGGGGAAGATTAAGTAGCTTTTTGTAAGTGCATATAGCAGTTTCCATTCAGCAGGATCCACGATCTCCCTACGCACACGTTCCAAAGATGGAGACCTTCAGAAGGAGCCATGTTAACTGGAATCTCCACGTTGGTCTAGCAGGGCTTCAGCACGAGGTCGGATAGGGCTTTCCTTAGGGTTTAGGTGTTCAGGGTTCAAGATGAGGCAGGAGTAGCGAAAAGCTCAGGGTGTAGGCTTTTTTGGTTGTCTGTTAGTTAAAGAGGAAGGGGCGGATGTTTCTCAGCAGGGCTCTCCCTCAAACTTTAACCCTTGCTGGGACTCTGCCGAGAGAGGAGTACAAAGCTCATTCGTCTTGAGAACTGAGGCTTTGCACAACAAACACGCCACTGGCTTGGGCCAGCATCTTGGGCAAAATTTCCCGCGGTTCCCAATGGCACTCGAAGAAGGAGTATACCTTCGATACCCAGGGTTGGGCACTGAAAGGAAGGTTCCGAAATCGCGTATTGCTGTCATTAAGGCATACCGGCATAATTACCTTATATATATGTATATATTTTCCCCCTTAAGTAGATAGAATATGGGGTACATGGGGGATATTATCATATACCCAAAGCCATATTGTATCTACTTAAGGGGGACTATACCTTCAACTCAGAGAGTCTCCCTACTAGTGACCCTTTTGGGGAGTTTCCTGTAGTCCCCCTTAACTACAGGAACTATAGGGGTTATATAGGGTATATATTGGGGTTATCTAGGGATAATGGAAAAGAAAATGGAAACTTATTAGAACAGAGCTGTATTCCTAGGTAATTGTGCTTTGCACTTTCTCATGAACATTTGTGTGCGGGGCTTGTTCCGGCGTGTGGCCCTTTGGATCTTTACAGTGCTACACTACCAAAAAGCCAGGTAAGACCACCAAGACTAGCCTGTGCTATTAGCACCTGAACCCTGAAGCCTAAACCATGCCAACACAAAGAACACCCCGAAACAGGAGCTTGCTCGTATAGCCCAGGCAGCGGACAGCCATTTGAATGTCTCAAAGTAGGAGCCCTTGGGAGCATGAGGATACATGGAGATTATAAAGGGATTATGGGGGGGAGGGTTCTTGCAAGAAGTGGTGCGCAGGGCTTGTTTCAAGAAACTCCCAAGAACACTTAATACATCCTTGGCATTCTAGCTACTTAACGCAAACATGACCCTCCTGCAAAGCGACATGGAACCCATCTAGGCCCCATGAGAGGAATGTAGTCTCAGTTGGCCCCTTGTGAGGGGTTCCGCAGTAGTTCAGGGGGAGGCGAGCTCAGGCACGTGGACATTTCAATGCTGGATGTTGCAGTTGCCCTTCTGGCAAATCAAGGCCGGGGAACCTAGGGATGGAGAGTGACTGACTATCAGGAGATGCTGATGGTCCATACTATCTACTCTTCAGGCTTCATCTTGAGAAAGTTTCGGGTACATCAGCTTGCGTGTGCAAGAGCCCCTTTGCACACCAAAGTTCTACATCCAACCTTCCAACCTAAGTGAGAAGGTCAATGGGGAGCTACGCACATATCTTTTGGCCTTTGCACAAGTTGCTAGCTGATTTGAGCCTGATTGATTTGGATAGCAGTAAGGATTAAGGGTTAGAATTTGGGGTTTTGAGTTGTTCAGTCTTCCTGTTGATAAGCACTTTCTGCAAGCGCGGGAGGTTCCGAGTGAGTTATGTAGACTTTAATGCTGGTCTAAATGGTCTAAGATGTGATGTTACATGCTGAGAACAGATAGGCTGATGTTGTCAAGGCCTGCATGAGAAGGAATTTCATCCATCCAGCTGTAAAATGCCATATGCCCCAATTTTAAAATGCCATATGCACCAAACACCCTTCGAATGATTTGAGCCCCTGCATTTCCGGAACTCATGAGGGGTTCGACAAATGGAGCCCCCCCCCGCCGAAAAATGAATCTGCGTATTCGGCTTTTAAGGCAAAACACAAAGGTCCATAAGGTAGGGCTTTTCCAGTACTGCTTGGTTCCTTGTAGTTACCTCTAGCAAGGAGTGAAGGAATTGACCTTCATAGTTGTCCATATACAATCTCCATGAGCATGGTAGTCCCTAAGCGCTAAAACCCTAAGCCCTCTATTTTCTTTTCCAATCTGACGCCCTAGACCCCCTTCCATTTCCTTTTCCATTCGTTCATTGCCTGCTAACCAGAGGTAAGCGATACAGGGCCTTTGTCACGAAGCAAGTTGAACTGGTGCGCTTCGGGTTTAGTATCGTGATCGCTCTCCTGAAACCATTGCTCATGGGTTGCCTTACGACACCCCTGGGCTCCTGTTAATGATGCTGAATTATGCCTGCTTATCCTGAAATAGCTTTAATTATTGGGAGGTGGGTAGTATATGGGCAACCATGCTGAAGCCATTGCTGATGAGTAGCGCATGTCTAAGCATATGTCACTCGGCAAGTTGCTTCCCTCAGGGTCCTGAGAACAGCTCACAGAATTCCACCACCCCGGACGAAATGTGGAACAACTGAAGAAATGTGGAACCACGCAAAGGCCCTTCAAAGGACAACAGCCGCAGTAGCCATTGTTGTTGATGCTCTTTGGGTTCTATTTGTTTGTGTTGACGGTTTCAGGGCGGTCCTTTGTAGATTAGCAGCTTGATGCCAGCAATAAGCAGTTGTGTCGGGGTTCGATCCTAAAAGTAATCCCTTAGAATAGTGTCTATATTCATTCCCTGCTCCCAGTTAGGCACCAGTGAGTTGACGGGGCCTCGGGTTGCCTCCAATTCCACCTTGCTTGGGGTGGTCCCTAAACCCTATGAACGCTAAACTCTATCACAGCCGAAGGCATGAATTACTTGGCTACCCGGAAGCGGCAGGAAAGGGTGGGCAACCATCACCCGAGTCTTGCATGCCAGAAGACTCACCTGGAGGCTTTGAACATGTTGTAGGGAATGGTCTAGAACACATTATTTACATGTCTTCCACCATTAGTGGACTTTTTAGCTTCAGGGGAAAACTCCAAACAAAGTCTCCTGGAAGAAGTTATACGGAGAAGTCAGGAGTATTTGGGGTACCTCAGGATCAAACGCGGACACTCCAGACAACCCTTGAATGCTGCGAAGCTTGATTTTTTGTTTGGTGGTTCACTCTCAGCACTTCATGTTTGCCTTCTGCATCGCTGCCTTCGTCTTCCTCTTGTTCTTGTTCTGTTCATCGTGTTGCTTGCCTTTATTATAAAGATCGGTAGAAAAGATATAGGGAACTAGCAGGATCCCCCCAGGGTCCAAACTGAAGACTTAGACCGGTAACCCTTATGAAGCTTCAGCCTTTAGACTTTGAAGTTAACGAGTGCAGCCTGATTTTCCGATGGTTCTGAGTCGTGCTATCGTTTTTGCGTCCATCATCTAGCACTATCTTGCTTTCCTTGTGGTCTAAGGTCATAGCGTAGTTTTCAGTGAGTGGGTAAGTATTGCTGAGCCTTCTCTCATGATGCTTCTAAGTCCCATGCGCTAGGGGCCTTTGCCTAAATCTTAATTCCTAAACCCTACTCTCCGAGTCTGTTTTGCTTAACACCCAGCCCATGAATTGACCTTTGACTGCTCCTCTCTAACTTGGCCTTTAGATTGCTGGTTGTTAGGGGAAGGAAGCAAGGGACAAGAAAATGGAAAACGTCATATGACTGAGGTTTGTGATGGGACTGCTACAGGAATTTCCCTACTCTCTAAGGTTGGAACCACGGGCCCCTGGTATGGGCCCTTAACCCTGGGATCCATGTATACTTACTAACTAGCCTAGATGTACCCTTAAAGGGTCCCTTCAATCCCCATAAGGCTTAAGGGCTCATATTATGCTCCCATACTTCAAACCTTGCATACTTACAACCAGCAAGTTTGGTCCTGAGCTTGGGCACAGCTAGTGGTCAGAGACTGAGCCGACAGCGCAACGTGCGTTTTGAAACCCACGAAGAAGTTTGAACTTTCGCTTTGTCTTGGGAATTCCTACACAATCCTTGCAATCCGAAAGAAATTGCTAACGGATATCTGGGCTCAGCCTGAACTTACTTGCGAGCTGGCATTCTTGAAGTTGTGATCATGAGCTTCACAGTTCAAGACTGCAAGAGCAGCTGAGGAATGTGGTGCCCTACCAGGTTATGCCGGTTGCTTGGATTTCTTGGCCACTATTGCCCGCTGATGCATTTCCTGATGCCCCTGTGAAGTGGGAAAGTTGGGGTCGATCATGACGAACTAGTTTGATACATAACCTATCAGACGCCCCAAAGATGTGCAGAATCATGCCTTTCTTGGCTATTTGGGGTAGTGTAATGGGCTTTGGGCCAATTTGTTTTAGCTATCTGAGGGCTTCAGGTAACCCAAATCGGAACTTCCCAAAACACTAAACCTCAGATATTGCACACTTGTAACCAGATTATATTGAACCCTCCGGGTGGAGGTGGTACTGTCCCTACGTAGGGGGACCTCAATATTCAATATCGACTCCCATATATTCTAATCTTAAATATACCCCCATATGGAACTAGAGTACTATTTTCCCCAGATGCTTATCCTCATTGTTAAGGCCTGTCTGTCAGGCGCCTTCTCAGGTGCCAAAGGGTCTAAGGTTTAGGGGACTACTTGCAGGGCATGGAGCAGAGGATCTCGATAGTAGCCCCATGTTTAACTTGCAATAATACTTTCCGGTGTTGCTTCCATGCCTTCCTTCTCTACCTGAAGCCCAACCCTAGAGACTAAATCCCAAGCCTTCAAAAGTAGCTTCCATTTTCTTTCCATCCAGTCATTAACTCGGCAGAATCCCTGTGTCCATTACCCTGAACCTTGGGTACTGCCCCCCCTCAGTAACAGTTAGATATTAATTACAATAGGGTTAGAAATAGCCCTTCATAGGACCCCTAATATAGACTGTTACTGGGTGGGGGCAGTACCCAACCTAAACCCTACACCCCAAACCTTTACCCTAAACCTACTAACACCCAGTGAGTGTTTGGGGCACCACCCAGGCTCAGGATGGCTATTTCATCCTTACAGCCTCCAATGATGACCAATTCCAGCGCTTTTGCAAGGCTTTGTTTAGGGTTTAGGGTTTCGGGAATTATTAGTTTTATTATTATTGCACGGCACTGGATTTGTGGGGGTTTACGGTTTCGGGAGTGATTTGGGCGATGCATGGGGTTCAGGACGGTTTGATTTCAAGCAGATTCTGGTAACATCAACCCCCGCTAAGGCGACCCTATAGTTGCCCCATGATTCGAACTGGTGTCCTGGTTCCGGGGGCTGGGGCCACCAAACCCTAAACCCTAAACCCTGTTGGGGATAGATGAGGGTTATGGCCTTGGCGTGCCTGGCGTGAGCGTCATGAGCTGCGAGCGCGAGGTCTGGGCTTAGACTGGGTTGCTGTTAAGGAACTTAAATTAAGTTACCATAATGGGTATATATAGTAATAAATAATGGGGTTTCCCCATTATAGTAACTTAATTTAAGTTCCTTAACAGCAGCCCAGTAGATGGGAGCTCGAGAGTTCGTTTCCGTGATTTAAACTCCGGGGGACAGTTTGGGTCAAGAATTGGGCATCTTTGTGTTTGACAGCTCTTGAAAAAGATATGGGGTCCGCGAGAACTCTGACTTCTTACTAAGGCGCAAGCCAAAGCCCCTAGATTCCCCAGATCCTCTGACCCTTCTTTTGCAGCTCTAAGCCTACTAAAGTCTTGAGAATTCTGCAGGTTTGGTACGTTTCATAATGTGAGCAAGCCTCCTATTTGGCCGTGGTGGCTAACAGCGCTGCTGCAGCTGCAGCATAATCAAGAAAAAGAACGCGCCCAGTTTCCGAATCCGCTGTCAGATGCCAACGGTTTGTATTCTACGTTGCGCCCCATCTCAGAAGGCACACAGTGAAACCATTTCCCAGAGGTAATCCATTCTAATCTCATAGGGTTTAGGGTCATAGCGGCAGTGATGGCCTCGTGTTGCAAGGTGGCTGGACGACTGGACTTGATGCAAAACGAGCACACCTTCGGCAGTTATGATCCATAACTTATGGATTCGGAAGTTGCGCATTAAGGCATCGAGAACGTCTCTGGATTACTTCTTTTTTTTGAATTTTGACTGGTCCCTTATTGGGCGAATGTTTGAAAGAATAGCAGGATGTGTGTTCATTCCTGTATGACTGACACCAGAAACTTGAGTAGGACCTTCACCAGAGTCCTGCGCAGGATGGTTTGGGGAGCCGGGTTTCAGGGTTCAAGACAGCTGTTTCAAGCCGTCGTTTCGGCTGATACAAAAACTCCTGCAAGACCTTGGTAGACAAAAAAGGGAACTTATACATCGCAAGATATAATAAGTTACTTAGGGTCTGGCCGGATTAGGGCTTCGGTTCTTGGAAATGGACATGGAAACAGGGCTTATTTTGGAGGGACTTATAGAGACAGCGTTCAATGTAGGAGCCCGCGTGATTTCGAATATTATTCCTTGTAGTCCTGATAAAGTTGTCCCCCCAAAGCCCTGATGATATACGCTCCTATAAGCACGCAGTTACTGAGTCGCCATATGCACCCAAACATCAGGTTAGCCAGTGGCAGAAGTCATCACACCTAGCTGGGCGGCCGGGATGCCTCAGGGTTTAGGGTTTGGGGTTTGGGTTTAGGGTTTAGGGTTTTTGAGAGTATGGCATCCATAAGAAGCAGATAGGTTTGCCTGACCACTATGAAGCACGACTGAAATTGGCTGAAGGCTGTTGCTCGCATGGCAGGTCCATTGCAAGAGCCACATACTTTTTGCAGTTGGGAGGGATTGAGGGAATAGAGACGACGATGAACACTGTTTTTCGCTAGTGGTTCTACACGGTCTACTTTGGGGCTCCGCCATTCCCTACTCAAAGCCAGTAAGTAAGACATCGAGCTGAAATAAATTGGAAGGGCATGCTTCCTGGTTTGAAAGGTGCAAATCAAACTTGATGGGGGTATCAGCATAAAACAGCAGAAGCTCGGCAAGTGGGTTTTTCAACTCCTTAGCAAAACACCCAACCTTTGGGTTTTGAACCTTCCAGGCTCAAAAGCCCCGGATCCTGAGGACCTTCAAAACTATGGAGGCTCGCGTCGTGCATCGCGAAGCTGTCACAGAAGTGCTGAATTCGATCACCGAGCAGCGCACGAAGAGCTGGTGGTGCCTGGGCTTGGAGCAGGTACCGATGTAGCGGATGTAGCGGATCAATGTTATATAGGGATCTTTTAAAGGGGGTATAGGGGTTACATAGGGATATGATAGGGATATTATAGGGTTTAGGGATCCTTTTTAAAAAAATATTTTTGGAGGTATGGGGTTCCTTATATTTATGTAAAAGGGTCCATTTCTCTTCCTAGGGTAGTGTGGGCTAGGTGTAGCTGTCTGCTTAGTTCTTCATAGGAACTAGACAACACAACGGGATTGGCTGGGTGAAAAGCAGCGCTTAGGAAAGTTTTATAGTCCCTCTAAGTAGATAGAATATGGGGTATATGGGATCTTATTATAAACTACCCAAAGACATATTCTATCTACCTAATTACGGGTTACTACAGGGTGTGGCCTTTTTGGTAGAGTTGTCATTCTCGAAGTCCAAATTCCTATTATTACTATATATACATATATACCCATTATGGTAACCTAATTTAAGTCCATCGTGTGAATATAGGGTTTAGGGATAGTAAATAATTTGATTTCCCTGCTAAAGATTCAAGAGCTGCAGACCGTAAAGAGCTGGGGTTAGAGCAGCGCAGAGCTGCAGCTTGTAGGGTTCGGATTGGGCTTTAGCTGGCCTTGGGGTGTAGGTACCGTGGCGTTGAAAAGGGCTTTTGTAACCCTGCAAATTAACCATCCTTTTGGGGTTTGGTGTCGCGACATTCCCCTTGTTAGTTGCGGGCTTCAAGATTTGGGCTTTCTCGTCCTTGGCGTGGAGTGCGTTAGCCTTTAAGGGACATGTGTTTGGGTTCCACGGTTTCCAAAAAAGTAGGAGTCTTGTGAGGGTCTATGTGGTGCTTTGGGGTTTATAACTCTAAGCCCTATAAGGGGACTGTCTCTTCCCCTCCCTACCTGGTTGGCTGAGATGTTTTAGACTCACCTATCCTCAAAACCCTTAGAGCCATGTGTTTCAGGCAACCCTAAACCCCTAAGCCTTAAACCCTACAATGCCAAGGCTAGAGCAGCTTGAGAAGGAGTCCGTCGGCTGCGCGGCTATTTACCACCTGGATGAGGTTTTTGCGCACCTGAGCAGAGGAAAGGAACATCTCTGTGTGTCTCTTTTTACTGGTTCTTAGTAGGGAACAAGAGAATATATTGGATAAAGAAGATTTCCTTATTCCCTACTTCCCTACTAAGAATCAGTAGGTCTTTAGAAAGGGGCCTATGAGATATACATCATCTGTGCCCTGTTGATTCCAATTCCAAGCCCCTTCTGCTCCTAAATGGCTCATGAGAGGGTGACAAAGTATCATGTAGTTTCTGAGGGGGGACGTACATGTCCTGTACGGATAGCCTGCAGTCTTTTGTAACTTGTCACCTTAAACTCTGAACCAAATTGCTCGAATGCTCGCGGAAGACCTCGAGCCAAGGGATCCACACGTCCAGTCGAGAGGGATGCTGGGGCAGGTTTAGTCGGAGGATTTACTGTTTCTTTTCAAGGCTTAGGTTTACTGGATCAATGTTAGGGATCCTTTAACTCTTTGGGGTATGGGATTCCTTATATTTATGTAAAAAGGATCCTTTTTTCTTCCTGGGGTAATGTGGGCTAAGTAGGGGTAGAGATGGAGGCCCCCTGCAAGTCTCATAGTGCATGTGTTTACAGGAGCCTCAGAGGCTACCTAGATCCATACACCCTACCCATTTTTCTGGGGTACCGAACTTTTTGTGAGACCTTCTTTATACAGAACTAGGTGCCCTTATAAGAGAGGGGTAGGGTATATGGCTGTCCTAAGCCCTACAAACCCTAAGCCCTAAACAGGATATATGGGTCCAGGTAGGCAAGCACCTGGCAACGGCCACCTGAAGTTGTCCTGCAGTGAAGGATTTTATCTTGGCTTGTTTGCCCTGCTTGGTTCAGGGTTTAGTATTTAGAACAAGCGTCGGAGAAACATGTATTTCGTTGTGAAGGCTAGAATCCTGAAGTTGGAGCAGAGCTATGGGAGAAGGGGAGTTAGTGGCTAGGGGAAGGTATTTATGCAAGCTAGACACGATACAGAAGCCGTCGATGGGTTCTAGGAATTTTGGAAAAATTTGGGCAGGTTACTGCTCGCCTTGGACCCGGCTCCTTGAGCACCCCCCAAACAGCAAGGATGGAGATCCAGATGACTCCGCACCTCTGCTGGCAAAGAGATTGCAGTACCCCGTACCCTGTCGTTTTTTGACATGGAAGCCTTCCAGGGGTTTCATGTTAAGGGGGAAGGGGAGAGATAACCCCGCAGAATTTGCCGTACACTCACGGACCCCAAAAACCAAGCTTTCCTCCAATCATTCATGAGCCTGCAAGGTCATGTGAGCAGGTTCATGTGAAGAGGAAAGGTAAGCAGCGTTGGGATTCCCGAGTTGATGTAGAACAGAAGTACCCTACTCCAGAGTTTGCGTGGGCAAGAACAAAAACTTATTGCTTGTATGTGCCTGCCCTTCTGCAATTACCCGAAGGCGGGTCGGACCACGTATTTGTGCATCCTCGAGGCTTCTCACGCACGACTCTCCCCTTCATGACCGTCAAAAGCTTCCTGGATGATGGCACGCCTTCCCTTATCATGCAATTGAGATCTTACTTGGCTCCGAATCTGGAGAGACCATCACTGTAGTCTCCTTAGGAATTATTTCTAAATGTCATTATACTATAACCATGGGGAATTATTGGAACTAATACTTTTCATTATAGGTCTAAGGAGACTATACATCAAACATCAGGAAAGTGGGAGCGTGGGAGCGAGTGGGATCTGAATCAGGAGCTTCAACATGGCCCGTACGGTACAAGTTCTGACCAATCGCAACTGTTGGGAGATGTCGGCGGCGTTTCCTTTAATTCGCATATTGTAGGGGTCTAAATACTTATGAATATCGATATTTCGAGGTCTATCTCAGGCACCCTGTACCATGAGATTATACAAGGAATCTAGGCCACAGCGCTGGGCTCCCACGTTGTACCTTCAGATCTCCTAGGTCCACAACTGGACCCGAGACCCCTAAACCCCTAAACCTCTGAACCAAGGACTGGGTCCAGCGAGCCTGTGTCGCTCATTGCTTCACCGATGAAGTTTTCCCGGACCCAGGCCAGGGTGGTTTAGGGTTTAAGTAGATGAATACTTTAAAAGGAAATGTAAAATACCCTCTATATATATATATATGAAATTTAGGGTTTGGGGTTTATATTGCGGCTATATGGGGGATAATGTAGGGATAGAACCCCTGATTCCCCGAGCAAACCCTATAAAACCTATTAATCCCTACATACCACCATTTTCCATTCATGTTCCATTTTATTTTCCATTTGATTCTCCATTATTGGGGTTCTATCGGTATATACCCTCATATAGCCCCAATGTAAACCCTAAATTATATATATATATAGATATCCCGATGTAATCCCCCATATACCCCCAGTATAAACCCTAAATCTTAAACTATATATACACGTGTATATCGCTATGTAATCTCTCACATAGCACACTCTATGCTTTGAGCCGGTTTGGGCTTCTGGTGTTGATGCGGTGACGTATGGTCCCTGAAAGGCTGAAGGCCGTGAGGCTAACTTGGGATAAGCTTGCCAGGCCTGCGATGGGTTTAGGGTTTAGGGTTTACCCGAAAAAAGTTTCCCTATTTTGAGGGCTTAGGGTCTAGGTTTCAAGGGTTTGGGGTTTAGGGTTGGGGTTCTGAATGCTTAGTTTGTTCGAGTGCAGGAGCGCGCTGCTCCCTTTTGAAAAGCCCTAGAATGCGCTACCCTCAGGGTACACCATGCTGTTAGCTCAAACGTCCCTTGACCCCCTAAGCCCTAAACTCGCCAACCCTCAGATTTAGAATTAAAGCCTTGGCCTCAAACCTTGAATCTTCTGGGTTGCTGTTAAGGAACCTAAATTAAGTTACTATATTGGGGAAGCCCTATTGTTTACTATATATATATATATACCCATTATGGTAACTTAATTTAAGTTCCTTAACAGCAACCCAGTCTTTTAGACTAGAAGCTCGAAGCCCTTCTGCTAGGTGGATTACAGGCTTCCGCCTCCTCATGTTGGGGAGCACACGGAGCAGGCCAGTTCTGATTCCGGGAACGGGTCCAGCGACCTATATAGTACGGGTTCTGGTAGAGGTACATTGGGCTAAGTATGCACTAAACTGGTTCGCGGGCTCTTTGTGTTTGGTGTTCTTTTACTCACAATAGAGTATGGCAGTATGGTTTTGGTGGCGCCAACCCCTAAAATTCAGGACCCGGAGACCATCTAACATGACTTCGCTTCCTTGAAAGATGGAGTTGGGGTTGCCAAAACGCCTCTCGACCTAATGCCGAGGAAGCCATGTGTATAGAGTGATGGTATTGGTAGCAGTACCGCAGAGGGACGACATATTGCAGGGCAAAGTGCTTGTAGGGAGCGAGGGCTACTGGACAGCTGCAAGTTCCCAAGCCTTTTCAGGACTATGTACTATAGTAATGCCATGGGTATATGCGGCCCAAATTTGTTGGGGGGAGATAAAGAATGGGTTCAGTAGGATTACGCGGGTACTACCCCCGTATCATTGTCCTAGTCCTAAACAAGTCCCGCAGACTGACGGCTAATCATAAATAAGCCCTGCTTGCATTGCCGCATCTCAGATTCAAGCCCTTTTGCGAGGGGATTTTTCCTGAAACATGGGCGCAAAATCCCATGATTCCACTTGCTCAAGTGTGCGTATGGAATTCAGTACGTCTAGTGAAGCACTATCTACAATCTAGATATTCATGCGTCCTTTCAAGATTATGGTCTCTTTTGCATCTTCAGATCCACAGGGGCCCAGCAGGAGGAGAGTGGAGCGACCAAATGCAAGTAACGGGCGGGCACTGAACAAGAGCCGCACAGATGATTCCTGGATTTCGCAGAGCCACCCTTTAATTTCCTTTGACTGAGACTGGATCAATGTTCGGGATCCTTTATGTTAAAAGGATCCTTTTTTCTCCCTGGGGTAATGTTGGCTAAGGAGAATGCAAACCCTAAACCCTAACTCTCGAGGAAGTTAGATCTGCAGATTTGCGGCCTCTATCCTGAGGTTGCGGTTTCCCGCAAGGTTGCTGACTATGAAGTTACCCCTAATGCATTTTGGCATCCTTTACACCCAATTTACTTCGACACGCAAGATGCTGCGCATTCTTCGCTTTGAGCCCATTCTTTTGTTGATAATTACTAGAATCCTGCATGACCTCTGCAGAATAGAATGCCACAACGCCCAAGGTAGAAGGATGTAGAAGGTACTTAGGGTCATGCAGGAATCTTAGTGTCCAGCGTTCAGGTGCTTCTAAACGCCGGCATGGCGCCGGCCACCATTGATGAGTTGCAGCTCGCTGGGCTTGGCTTGGGTTCCGGATGTCAGGCTAAGGTTTAGGCTTTAGGGTGGAGGCTTTAGAGGTTTAGGGTTTATAACGTAAGGCTTATCTGGGCCCTCCACTCTGGCTCCTGTTGAGTTTCGGTATGCTTTCTGTGTGTCGGGTTATGGTTGTTATTAGGACCCTGCAAGGCCAGGACTTCACTGGAGGGTCCAGGTAAGCTCTCTAAGCTCTAAATGAACCCTAAACCCTAAGCTCTGGATTTTTAAGAGGCCAGGTTGAGTGCCTGCCAGTTTGGGATAGGAACAGAGGGGAGCAATTTGTCTTGTCATGCAGAGGCTCAGTTTTTGGAATCTAAAAAATGAAGGGCTTCTCCCCATTCTGGGCTCCCATGCATGGGCTCCCCAGTTTCGGGTTCACATGACCTCTCGGCAGTCTGTGATCAACCCGAGAGTTCCTGGGGGAATGAGTATGCCCCTAAACAGGGAAGACTCAGGTCTGTATGGGAGTCTGTCAAAAGAATCGCCCAATCATCCTTGAGAGGGACTATTTTTCTGCCGATAGACTGAAGCCCAAAAGCTCGGGCTTTATGTTTGGAGGCTCCCATGTTACATTCAAAGCCCGGGGAAGCTAGCTTTCATATGCCTAGGGGTGTGGGAGTCTCCAAGGGTAGGGATCCGCCTTACATACCCCAAAATACTATAATCATCATTATAAGTACCCCCGCCGCCCCGCCCCCCTCACCTCCCCCCAAGAGATACAGAGATAAACTTTATCACCCCTGAACCCTACAATCCACAATCCCTAAACCCTACAAAGCGGAGAAAAGGCGTGTTTGTTAAAAAGAAACAAGACCTACAATCCCTACAAAAACTCTGTGCGCCCTTAACCCCGACCCCAGGCATGAGCTGGGCGCCATTGACATTGGCGCCAACAAGTTTTTGGGCTGCTGTTAAGGAATTTCCAGGTTCTCTAGAAAGGTATTGAGTTATGTAAGGATTTAGGGTTCTTAGGCTGTTGTTCAGGAATTTCTGGGTTCCCTTGAAAAGGGTTCAGTTATATACGGGTAGAATTACCTTGGTATGGATCTATGGTGAATATAAGGGTTCCTTACTAAGGCGACAATCAGAATGTCTTTGCTGTGGCTGGGATACTACCGACGCTCAGTAATAAAACGGTTTCCTTACAATGGTAACAATCGGGATTTTCTTGCTATGGTTTGGGCGCTGCTGCCACTCAGCAACGGTTGGAGAGTACTTACAGCACGACTATTACAAGCCTTGAATACTGCCTGTGTTAGACTGTGTTTGCGGGGCAGTACCCAAGTTATGTAAACTTATTGAGGATGTCTCTGGCCTTAAACCCTAAAACGTAAAGTTAACTAGGATGTCCTTAAATCCTGAACCCTAAACTTCATTAAGATGTACTTATTGATATTGGTCATTTACCTCAAACCCTAAACCCTAACCCTAAACCCTATATTTAATTTTGAACGGCAGCCTAGGATTCCCAGGGCTTCTCCGTCGGAGAGGCTGCCGCACCTTGAGGCCATGGGCTTAGGCTGAAGGTTTTAGGGTTGACACGTGAATTTATATGTACGTATGTATATATGTATATATGTACACATGTAGGGCTTAGGGTTTAGGGGTGTGTGTATAGATATATATACACATAGAGATAAATGAAGGTTCTATAGGGATGTGTAGGGACCATGTAGGGTTATGGATATGTATAATATATATATATATATACCACCCCATCATGATCCCTCATGTCCAACCCCTAATATCAAAAACACCCACCAGCTCTAGTATTAAAGATCTCCATTATATCGCACTATGCCACAAGCGGAATACTGCAAAAGATTGGGGGTTGCGGGGGGGTTCATATAATGGGGAGGGGATTATAAGGTGAGTATACATGAGGCAGAGCCGCCGGGGGGAACAATCTTTCCGAGAAGTAGGTCTCTCCCGAGTTAAGGCCGCTCCAGGTATAAAGATTTTTTGGCGGGGTTTGTCAAAATCAGTGCGGACGCCAGGGATATATTGTGGTCTAAGTGGAATGTGAGGGTCCCTAGTAGGTTAGGGGTTGTACACGGAATGTTTTCGAAACCCATAATTGAAGCCCATTTACACTGACAGGGACGTTCTGGTAACCCAACCCTCAAAATTAGAACCCCATAAACCCTAAACCCTTAAACCCTAAATCCTTAAACCCTAAACCCTTAGACCCTAAATCCTTAAACCCTAAACCCTAAACCCTATTCCCCATTACTATCGCATGGCTTTTGGCCTGAGATGGTCAAGTAATCCTTATGACAGGGCATGGGTGACCCCCGGAGGCCTATGTCCCGTGCGGCTACAGCCACCTTTCAGTGGCTTGGGCGCTCATACTCAGACCCCCGGGAGGATCTAAAAGTTAGATTCCTTTTATGCACCCACACCCATAAGGCCGCCTAAAGAAGCTCAAGGAATTTCCTCATGTTATCCTAGGGGATTAAAGTTTCAGATTCCTTTGGAGGCTGGGTACGTGTCCGTAGGGCTCTGGATGTCTGTTCCTACTTTTGAGCTGCTCCTGTACCCTCTTAGTAGAACTTTATATAGCGTCCTCCTCGACAAGCATCATTTCCAAAGAAACAATGCATAGGGGGACCATGTGTGGATGCGTCCCGAAGGTTGTGGCTTTCAGGGTCCCGGCTCTTTCTTTGGTTATTGCAGGTAGGCCCACCGCCACTGAAACCCAGATAGCACAGGCCCTTTAAGACTTGTGGATTCCTTCTGGAGGGGTCTTTCCTATCTGGGGTTCGCTAGGAATCTACTCTTCAAAGTAGAGCTTCAGCTTGAAACAGGGCTCACATTGCTTCCTGGTCATCACGGTTTAGGGCTTTGGCCTTTGGCATTTCTAGCCTGTCAGTCAACCCTCTGTATGTAAACAACGTAGTTCATATGTCACCACTTCGGCATGCGAGTTTGGGCAGCAATGACGTTATGGTGGTAAGCCATCATGAACATGACTCAGATCACGGGCGACTGGGAGCCAACCAGAAGCTAGGTCGACCCTCACAGTTCTGCATTTGGAGAGTGCTGTGCTGAGGCTTCTTTGCCATTCTTTCAGACCCTGCCGGCGTCGATTCTGACTCTTTTCCACGTTCCACCATGATGGGAGCTTGTCTTGGTTTCAAGCAGCGCAGGGGAGTTTTGAGGCAGCTTAGGGAGGATTACGAAGATGCAGGGTACTTCAGACTTCAAGGGCAAACTCCTCTGCTCTCCTCCACCCGCGACATTTTGAACTTTTTCTTGTGCCTCTGCCGCATTGCATGGGCTTGCAGGAGGCCAGGTATTGGCCTGCACTCAGCGCTGGCCTAATGTGTCCTGGGTAAGAAATTGCAAGGCTGATATGGGAACCATCGATTACCTGCTTACATGTGGATACTGTGACACTTTGTTACCCCAATATAGACCCCAAAATACTATAACCCGTATTACAGGGACCCCCAAAAAGGGACCCCAGATTTTGGGAAACCCCATATAGTTTTTAGGGTTCATGAATCTTATCCTTGAAAGCCGGGATATGGGGCACGGGTTTCGCACACTTTGCAGTGCAGTTCTTCTTCAGTGGCCGGCCTCCGCTCGTGCAAGGGGTTCCTCATGCTCCACGAAACCCTTAGGGGAGCGCGGTTTCAGGGTTGGGGTTTCAGGCTAAAAGTATGGGCCCCTAATATAGGCCCTCCAATGTAGTTCCTTTTTGGGTTTGATATGGTTTTTGGGTTAGGATTCTTATTAGAGCTACCAAAAAAGTATTACATTGGAGGGTCTAAGTAACCCCTGTACCCTGAAATCTAAATCCCGAACCCTCGAACCCTAAACCTTTTACTTCAGAAACCCTGAAGGCTCTTTGGGTCTGTTAGGCCGTAAGGCTGCCATGGAGGGCCACAGCCTGAACGTTTATCATCCAACCCTCAGACTAGACCTTGGATTATTATTGTCTAGGGTTGAGGTGATGACACCGAAGAAATACAGGAGCAAATGGAACCGAAATGGAAACTAGGATTATTTGTTGAGCTCTGAAGCATGATATTGAGCGCCCACCCCCTAACAATGACCATCTCCAATACAGCACCATAACATTGTGTGGCGAACTGCCCCACTGATGACTGATATTCATCTGATTATTTCGCGGAGGTTCAGCATTAGGGGCGGGGAAGGGTTTGTTTGATATGGGGGAGGGATTATGAGCTTCCACCGCAAGCAATGGCGCGCTGTCGAGTCTCACATTAGACTACCCTCCATCACTCTATCAAGATAGGATTCGCAAGTCGTGGGTTTTGCGGTCGGAGACTAGGTCTATCCCTAAACCGCAATCCTTTCAGGGATTAACATCTACGTGTCCTGTTTCAGGAAGGCTTAGATCTTAGGGATCGTTCCGTCAGTTGCTTCTGGAGAGGATCTACATAAAACCTCCTTGTCGGTAGGACTTCTTGTCAGAGTCTCTCCAAAAGTGTTCCACATAATTTAGGGTTTAGGTGTTGTTTTAGCAGGTGTGGATCTGGCCACAGCTTCGACCAGTATTTGCCCCAAGCCCTCTAGAAGTCTCTGCATGTAGAAGCCAGCAATTACCAATATTCTCCCCATGGATCCTTGTAGAAATGTGAAACCCACTAAAATTCTTTGCAAATTAGGTATGCCTTCCATTGCACTCTTTATAACCTCCTATACCAATGCAGTTTCCATTTAATGTTCCATGTTCCACTTGATTCTCCGCGATTCGAGTCACATATGGCCCCAAAGCCTCGAACTCTTATTTCCGACATAGCCCCTCTACCCTCCAAAAAGTTACACCCCTTGACTCTGAGAGCAGAAGTGCGTTTAGAGCCTCCAAATCGGGAAGGGAAGCTGCACTCAGGGGGCGACGGCCACTGGCAAAGTTTTGCTCCAGCAGTCAAGAAGCTTGCCATCCGGAAGGTTTTACGGATCGACGAATTTGATGCACCAGCGATCGGAACCTGAGGATATTTGTGGGTCAACGGGGGCAGGGTTTCAGCGCTGATGAAGGTTTTTGTGGGGGCTGATTGAAGCTTCATTGGCTTCAAGCTTAATTATTCAAACCAATGTAGTTTCCGTTTTCCGTTTCATTACAGCTCTCATCAAAACCTGATATCGTAGTATCATGAAGACAACTTAATCCCTGCCCAAAAAGCATTTCTTGTGGCAAGGGGCTCGCGAACCCCTTCCCCTGTTGACCCCTCCAAGGGTTCCTAGGAAGCCAGCTCCAGGTACCAGAGCTCCTGCTCTAGAGTTTAGGGTTTAGGTCTGTTTAGGGTTCAGGGTTTAGGGCTCTAGAGTTTAGGGCTTAGGTTTGAGGGTTTAGGGTTTAGAGTTTAGGTTTTAGGTTTTAGGGTTCAGGGTTTAGGGCTCTAGAGTTTAGGGTTTAGGTTTCAGGGCTACTCTCCTTGCTATTGTTACTGCCATTACAAATACTGGTTATTATTCTTGTGATTATAATTACTAATAGTGCAAAACCGGTTTTTCTTGTTATTGAGAATAGTATTGCTTCTGCCTATATTAAACGTATTAATATCTCGCAGTATTGTTGATCGTATATTGGCAGCACTGTAGTATTTTGATTGCTTTTATTCTTATTACGACAATTAGTATTACTACCGTTATCTTTCAGTTCATAAGTGTAGTCAAACAGATGTTCCTGCATCGCATTGGCAATCCTGCAATGCGTTCAGCCCATCCGACGCAGTGTTTCTCTGAGAGTTTATCAAGATCATCAATATATATAGTCTATACTGGGGACCCCGATGCTCTACGTATACTCCCTGCACATCCCTCGAGAAATCCTCATGCAAGGATGGAGCCGGAGTCTAAGCCTTAGAAGAACTCCATGGTTGTTGTTGAGTGCCTGTGTGTGTAGAAATCACAGCGGGTGCTAAACTGCTGCTAAACCCGAACCCAAATTTCAACTTGTAGATATGGGAGTTTCCCCAGATTAGAGATACCACTATAAGGGCCCCATGAAGAGGATCGTAGTACTTAACTTAGGGGTCTACATCCCCCCTTTCTTGGGCAACTACTATATGTCATGGGAGCATGAGGGCTCAGCACGTGACAGCGCGTGACTTGTACTGTCAAGTTCATGGGTGCCTCCTTCTGCCGTATAGGCAGTGCTTCTATATGTGTACACATATGACTCCTGGCTGCTGTTCTATGGAGAAAAAACCCATGTGTGGGGTGTCCACAACCCTACGCTCTCAGCTCTTAGCCCAAAACCTTAAACCGTGGCTCAGTGCAGATGAGCTCTGAAGTTCAGTAGGGAGCCTGCCAGCAATGTTGTCATGGGTTCCCGAATCACCATTCCCCTCCTGAAAGCTTCTGAAGCTCTACAGCATCCCAATAAGGGAGACCCTTCGTATCCATTGGGGGGATATTTAGGTTATATATTGGGATTATATTGGGATAATGTAAAGAAAATGGAAACTACTATAACGGGCTATATCTATAATATAGGTTTAGGGTTCAGCTGTGTTTCGGGAACCCTTAAGAAGTGACCTCACCCTCAGGGGGCAAATGTGCTAGGGGCCTGTTTCTGTGCCTCCAAAGCCACAACATGGCCAGCTTCCTGACGCAAAAACGGGCATTCTGCCAAACCCCCCAGAATCATGGCTTCCCCTAAACCTCTATAGTCCCCCTTAAGTAGATAGAATATGGGATATATGGGGATCTTACTATAATATACCCAAAGCCATATTCGATCTACTTAAGGGGGACTATAAACCCCCTCCATTAGGATTATTCAAGGAGAACCAAGGCTAGTTCAAGCCAGATAAGAGGGAAGGGAACAAAGGGGGGGATAGCATTGAGGGGGCTAGTAGGGGAACCCATGATAGGTCCTAAAACGCTAAACCCTACAGCGTCTTGAATCTAAGGTTAGATGTATGGGGCCTAAATATGGGCCTTGAGGCCCTTTTTAGGGGATTCTATTGGACCCTGAAAGGTACATGTAGGGTATATGGTAGGTATATAAGGATCCCAGCGTTAAGGGCCCATACTAGGGTCCCATGGTTTCAAGCATAGATTGAAGTTGAGGCTTCTGAGGGTTCGGGAACCCAGTTGTTACAGGCTCAATATGACTATCCTAACCGTATTGCATTTAGAACTCACACTCTCAATATTCATAGTCGAGTGTTGTTCAGCAACGCCCCCTGTTTTCAGAAACCTGCACAATCTTATGGATTGTAGCACGTTGAGGTATACCAGGATGACCTCACATCTGGGAAGTACCTACATAAGCTACTGTCAAGATAAGCCTTACTACGGGAGTCTTCACAGTGGACATAGGGGTCCCTCCTGTGGTGCAATATGTTTGGATCCTGCCCGCGCCCAGCAACAGTTACATAACATTTATATTATAGCTATATATAGCCCTTAATATTACCCCTAGTATAGGCTGTTACTGGGTGGGGGCAGGACCCATATAATATAGTCCTTAGTCCCGAATCTGTAGTGTGGTTATTCAGCTTTGATTCAAAGAACCTCGTAAGCTGAGGCAAGTGGAACCCCCCTTAGTCCGACATCCTAGAAACCTAAGCTCTTAAATCCCTGAAGGCTAAATTTCCTAAGCCCGAACCCTAAACCCATACACCCTAAACCCTAAACCCTGAACCAACCCTGAATCCTGAACCTCGAACCCAAAACCCTAAAACTCGGAACCCTAAATCCGGAACCCCAAACCTATCAGATCCTGGATCCCAGGGCCCTTAAGGTTTGGCCCTTTCTGGCTCCTGCCCTGTTTCAGGTTGAGTTTAGGGTTTGAGGGTTCTAGGGTTTGGGGTTATAGGTTTCAGGACACTAGGTTTTAGGGTTCTACGGTTCGTGGGTTATAGGTTTCAGGGTCGTAGGTTTTGGGGGTTTTGGGTGTGAGGGTTATAGGTTTCAGGGTTGTCGGTTTGTAGCGTTACAGGGTTTAGGGTTGTAGGTTTTAGGATCAGGGGCACTTCGCATGCACATTTAGGACACTAAAAAAAAACAGCTCTTAACCCTTGTCATCCCCATTCTTAACCTACTTACGAAGTCCCGTACCCTAAATCCAAAACCCGCATCCTGCAACAAGGTATAGGACACCCAGCAGTCGAGGCTGGCCTAAAATTGCAAGAG